ATTATATTGCTTAGAAAGTGACATATGGCGTAATCAAACACTAATGTCCTTTTTTTCCTTGCCTCTTTGCTACCAATCGCACTGTCCTGTTTAATCTGCAGTTAAAGGAGAACTATGGGGTCAGGGCTTTTCCCCATAGTTCTCCTTAGGGTAACGGGAGGACACAAACTAGCGTCCTCCCGTTACCCTAAGACGCCGGAGCGGATCCCGACATCGATGTCGAGATCCGCCCAGCTGCGTGAGTGACAGCTGGCTCTGCCTATCTAGAGGCAGAGCCAGCTGTACCCGCCCCCTCCCCCGTCCGTTCCGCCAGTCAGCGCTGGCAGATCGGAGCGGGGAGGGGGGAATCCAGCCCCTCCCCTGTCGCGGCAGAGAGCCGTGACAGGATCGAGAGGTGAGGGAACCCGGTATGTGTTCGCTCACCTCCCGATCTACTGAGCCGACCTGTGACAGTCTCATTGTCACAGGTCGGCTAGAACTATGAGGTGAGTGGAAATCACTCATCTCATAATTCTCCTTTTTAACTTGTCTCTTGCAGCCACATTCAGGGAGGTTGCTTGTGCTTTCATGGACCTTAAACATCTTGACATTTGCAATTGTATTGAAAGGAACATCAAGCTGCTTATTTATGGTCTTGGAGCCTTTACCTTTTTGGCATGCTGGTTTATATTTTTCTTTCCGAGCAATTAAGCATTGTCACAAATAAGCTGTGAGCTGTACCAACAAATTTGTCCATGCTTGTATTAACAGTCCATATACAGTATGTGTGTCTAAACTTTGTATTTAGCGGTTTCCCTTGAATTCTGCATTAAAACTGAACTTGCTGGTATATAAAATTATCAAAAATATTCCACCCCAATTTGTTTGTCATACACTAGGACAATTGTGGCTGAAGGTTGACTGACAGAGTATCATTTCTAAGTATATGGGCAGAATATTTTGCTTTTACTAACAGTCTCTTATTTGGCTTATCAGGTCTGTTAAACTCTGAACGCTTGAATAGCAGTCTTTACAGGTATAAGCAATGCAAAGTACAAGAAAGCAGTGGTTCTCAACCTGTGTAACCTCAGGACCCACATTTGTCCTTGGCCATTAAGTCGTGACTCAAGTTGCACTGCAATGGAACACACGGCATTAGGGTACAGATCCACCCAGTCTTCCTATCTTATGAGAACTGGAGTGTATTCTCAGCCTCGGGTCCAGTGTTGGCTACTGTGCTGTGATGGAGCTCCATCCATATGTGCATTGCTGGTACTGGTACAGGGCAGGTGAGGGAGCTGCAAGCAATGCACATATGGATGAAGCTCCCTCATGGCCGTGGCCCTACCTCAAGCTGACACTCGGCACCGGGCAGCATATTTTAAATGGCTGCTTGGTCCCAAGAACTGACAATGCTGTGCTGGGGGAAAAGTGGATGGCATGTGGATACTTGGCTCCTGGGATTTGTCAAGCCCTGACTGAGTATGATTCCTTATTTTAGGACAGTATGCAGAGCCATGCAAATCATTCCTTTTTATACCCCATCAGCCAAATGCACATCCAGAATTACTGGGGTATAGTGCAAATATGGCTTAAAGTGACATGAAACCCTCAGATTTTGTAACATAAACCAATACTGTAATGTGTGCCTTACTGTAATCCATGGTTGTTTCACTTCTCTTTGCTGCTCTTCCTTTTAAATCTGTATCTGTTCTCATGCTGGGCAGAACTTCTGTTTTGCAGCAGACTGCCTTGTCTCAGGAATGGATACACTGTGTCTGTGTATACGTTTCTATAGGCTTGAAACCTGAGCCAGCACTACAGGAAGAGGCCCTGAGCTGAAAAGGGAAGTTCTGCCCAGCATGAGAAGACATGAGGATTTAAAAGGAAGAGCAGCAAAGAGAAGGGAAACATGGATTACAGTAAGGCACACATTACAGTATTGGTTTATGTTACAAAATCTGAGGGTTTAATGTCACTTTAATAATATAGCACCATTTTTTTTGCAAACTGCATACATCTGTTTTTAAGTTTTTTTTAGCTATGATCAGAGCAGTGTATGGCAACCATGGCTTTACGGAGTAGGGCTTAGGACCCAACAAGGTTATAGTGGGAACAGTTTACTGTGTTGCAAACTGATTAGGTAGCAGGGATTTTTGATTCTTTGGTCTCTTCTCACCATAACCTTTATGATTATATTGTCTCGTTGGGTATAAACATTAATAGAAAAAGTAAGTTCTATGCAGCAATTGCATAAAGGATATTGTGCAGTTGTAAGAAAAAGTAACTGGAAACAGTGCCACCATACTAATACTAAAATATCCTATGCCAACCATAATCTAAACACCCTGTTGGTTTAAGATAAAAGGATTAGATAAGAGTAACCATATAAATAAATCCAACTAATGGCTATGTACATGGTTCCACAGGAGAAATATAGGCCTGCCTTATCATATTGGCTTTGTAAGGTTTATTTATTTTTGAACGTCAGATTAAAATGTAGAACATAGAAAAAGACAAGGGCATGGGGTAGATTTAAATCTGTTTAATTGAACTACTAGAGAGGGTATTTATTTGAGCTGCACTAGCAGAAAAGAGTCTCCCAACAACAAATGTCCTGGACAATTCTGTGTAATTAGTAATAACTGGTCTTGATCAGTTATTTTTCTAGAGTTTTACCAGAACTGGGAGCTGCAGGTATGTAATGATCAAGTCTGTCACTGCGGCCTTTTTATCTTTTGTGATAGTACTGTGTGCCTTAGATCTGGCTGGGATGATATCATAAGCAACATGAGGCTCCTGAAGTTTCTTACTAGAAGGTTTGATGAAGGCTGATATGTATTTTTTTTTAAATGCAAGCAGTGTAAGGACCTGAATTCGACTGTTATCAGGCTCTTGCAGTATTTGTACAGCAGAGCTCGGGTGGAGGGAGGAGCAGCACAGGGAGCCAATCAATTGTGCTGCAGTGCAATGAGCATGTTAATAGGAGGTGAGAGTAAAGTGACAGAGACATGAGCTCATTAGTGGCTTGCCTATCCTTCACTGTCCTGTCACAGGGTGGGGAGGAAAACCTAAGGGTTACTGAACTGCAATAGAGAAAAAGGTCTTCTGCCGTGCCAGACAGGACTGAATGTTCTGGCAGATCTACATACTGGATGGACAGAAGTACAAATCCTTTGGCAGATACAACAGCTACCCTTTGTCATCTGTGTATTTAGCTCTTTGCCTGGCATTCAGCTTTAAGGTAGACATATTGAAATACATTGGCCATAAACCAAAAGGAAAAATGAGCATTACAAAATCACAATGTTATTATTTTAAAGTTTGAAAAGTATTTTATTCTATGAAAGGAAAAAAAATCAATGATTGTTTGTTTTTAAATATGACATATAATAAAAGCAAATATCATATGGTCTCTTGCTATTGGGAGCTTTTGTACATATTTCAGATTCTTTCTCTAAAGTGACACTAAAGTAAGGAGTTAAATCTTAAAAATGCATTCAAGTACCTTTTTAAGGCCTTGTTCACACCAAGCGCGGAGCAGGTGCGGTGCAGAGCAGATCAGATGCAGACCGGATCAAAACTGCGCCCAATGTATTCCAATGGTATTTTTTGCTCCAGTTCACATCGCAGCGTGCAGTTGCAGAGCAGGTGAAAAAACTGCAGCAGGCCCTATTTTACCTGCTCTGGATCTGCTCTGGAATGCATCAGAAATGCATGCAAATGCCTGGAACGCACTGAATGCCCATTTTAAAACTTTAAAAAAACATTTTTATTTTATTTTTTTACCAAAAAGAGCCTGGAACGCATAAAAAACGCGTCTAAAAGACTAGCGTGCATGTGCAGAAACCTGACCGGATCTGCTCTGCATTTGGTGTGAACAAGGCCTAACTATTAACAAAAATGTATCTTATTTGTGTATCACTCGGCTGTAGATCCTCAAATCATCTCTGAATTGGTGCTGACACTGTCCTTCCATCTGGAGGGTGGCTACTTTTGTTCCCCATGGTCCCTGTGTGTGTTGTAAAGTAGCCATCGCTCCAAGCTCATAATGAACCCAAGCCTCTAATAATTTGTATTGATATTATAGTCTATCGCGAAAGCAAGCTTGGTGCGGTGGCTACTTTACATATGCAGGAACCATGGGGAACAAAAGTAGAAAGCAGGAAACCGTGGCTGTAATATGGAATAAGCAAAAATAGTGCATATGCCGTGTATATATATATATATATATATATATATATATGTGTGTGTGTATATGTA